ACCAGCTGGCTTCCCTCAGCCCTCTCTAGATGCCTATAACACAAACTCCAAAAACCCTATTGGGGACCCCCTTGTAACCCTAACCCTAACCCTAAATCTCTCATTTACTGACTGTCAATTGCCTCAAAACTCTCTCATTTACTGACTGTTAGTTGCCCAAACCACCTCTCCCTTCACTGCTCTGCATCACCCCATACTCTCTTATTTACTTGCACTAACTGCTCACTTTCTCATTGCTTGACTGCCCTGCTCTTCCCTTTGCTTGCTTCATTATCACCCTCATCAACTGACTGTCCCTCTCTCCTCTCAGCTCTCTCATTTACACGCACTGACTTCCTTTTGCCTCTTCATCACCTGCCTCTCATTTTGCGCACTAACCTTGTCGCAATTGGTTGGCCGTGATGAGACTCGAGTGAGCTTTGCGTGATAAATTGCGTTGAAGTGACTTAGTGATTCAATGATTGACCCAATTGACTCGATTGACTCGATTGACTGACTCAATTGACTGCCTTGACTGACTCAATTGAATCGATTGACTGACTCGATTGACTCAATTGACTGACTCAATTGACTGACTTGACTGAATTGACTGCCTCCATTGACTGCATTGACTTGCAGCAATCACGTGATTGACTCAATTGACTGCCTCAATTGACTGCATTGACTTGCAGCAATCACGTGATTGACTCAATTGACTGCCTCGATTGACTGGATGACTCGCGGCGATCACGTGATTGACTGCCTCGATTGACTCGATTAACGCATATTGACTCCCCCAATTGACTGAATTGACTCGCCTTACCACGTGATCGACTTGATTGACTGACTCGATTGACTGCCTCAGTTGACTCAATTGACTGACTGGACTGCCTCGATTGACTTGATTGACTGGATCATTGACTCGAGTCAGCTTCACGTGATAGACTCGATTGACCCAAGTCAAGTGACTGGATTGACTCACTTGACTGCATTCGTGATTCGAAAATTGACTCGAGTCAATGGGCTTGATGCCCAGGATTGATTTGACTTGATTGAATGCATTTACTCGAGTCAATCGACTTCATTGAATCCTGTGAATGGTTGATTCGAGTTGATTGACTGCATTGACTCGCGTCAAAGTACTCGATTGACTGCGGCCAATTGACTCGAGTCAATTCTGAGTTGGCTGCTTTGAATCGAGTCAACTGACTCAATTCCCTCGAACCCATCCCGAATCGACTGCTTTGAATTGAGTGGATCGCCTTTCTGACTCGACTGACTGCAGTCAACCAACCGCGTCGACTCGCGTCAACAAGTCGATTTGAATTCTCTCAGAGACGGCCAACGACCGTTGTCGCCCGCTTTTCTGGCGTTGCGCCAATGTGGGGTTCGAATCGACTCGACATTGCCTCAGGACTAGCGTGTCACGTGACACGCGCATTATCTTTGCTTCATGTAAGACGTTTGACTAGCATCTTCTTCTTCTTCTTCCTCACCACGACCATCATCGCAATCTATAGCATTCACATAGCGATGTGGAGTCGATTCGCGTCGATGACCGCCTCACACTGCTCTGATCCGAACGAGGTCATTCCTGGGGTCCAAGTAGAAAAATAACGCAGGCAGAGGTTGGGCAAGCCGAGACGTGGCGATTCGACAAAGGATCAGTCATCAGGCTACACACGCGCGACTCGCTGAGCGCTACTACTGCATTGCAAAACTTGGGTATAAATCAAGACTTGGGAAATTCCGCGTCGCAAAGTAGGGAATGATGACTGTGGCGACCCATCGCACTAGGCGGTCGCAAGGGGGACCAATGCCATCGTCTCCGTCGACTGATTCGCATCACCCGTCCCATGTTCAGGTTTAAGCTCCAGGAACATTCGTCCATTGCCTTGGTCCTCGTCGTCGGTTTCTTTACGATTCAGAATAACGTACTTGTCGCATTCCTCCTTAGTCTTCTCCGAGGAGCTCCAAATCTTGCCCAGGTCATCTCCGCGAACTCCACCGCCAGCAAGCAAGAGCAGAGAGTTGAAAGGAGTCGTGTACTCTGTCCACATAGGCCATCCTAATATGCCACAGAGAAGCAAGGGCAGAACAGCGAGCACGGCACCGCTCCAGAGCCTGACGTAGATGTAGCGATACACTGCAGCAGGCTCGGCAATCTGTTGCTGAAAGTTGTTCTCTCTGTCCGTGCACGCACCCTGCTCTGGAGTTGCGAGTGTAGAGACGTAGTTGAAGTTGATCTGTTGATTGACTTGAACGATGCGAGAGCCAAGCTCTTCCTTTGTGCTTGCAGAAGCTAGGAAAGCCACGTCGGTGCTGCCAAACAACCCATACTTGGTCGTGTCGACGCTGAGAATGGCGTTGTTCTCCGCAGTGACTTCAGCCAGTGCGTCCTTGTCCCGGCCGATAAATGGTGCTGCGGGGCCTTGAGCAGATTGTTGAAACGAGCGACCATTGATCCAGGTAAAGGATAGGAGCTGCCGCTGGCCGACGCAGCTGTACCCAAGAAATCCACTCTGACTTCCTGCGTATGTCGAGTTCGTGATGGCCGAAATTTTACGAGTGGGAAAGGCGGTGCCATTGATCCACGCGTTGCTGACTTGCGAGACCATTCCTGCCAAGTATGTTGCATTGGCTCCCACGTAAAAGTCGGTCGCTTCGGCATTCATGTCTGCGTTGAAGTAGTATATGCTTTCATGAAATGTTGGAGTGGTCTCGCTGCAGGTGTACACCCACCCAGGGGCGCTGCCCGTCGTGATGGTGCCGATGGCTAGCGAGCTGCGATAGAACGGGGCAGTCTGAGCCCTGAGGGCTGCCAGCGCTGCTGTTGGAGCACCATCGGAAATGATACCTGCCTGCACAGAAATCCCTTCAGAGGTCGCGTTCTGACATGCCGATGCGATGCTAACGGTGAAGACTGGCTGAGGCTCTGACCTCGATCGGATGCCGGACTGTACCACTGTGACCCAGCCAGCAACGCAGCCAGCGGTGAGCATTAGAGAGAGGAAAAGCCCCACCGTTTTGAAATTGTGACAAGCTTTCCGGAAGCCGAACCATCCTGACCGGAAAGCACCACCGTCGTCCAGGGCTTTCAGCCGCACACCATCACCTCTGAGTTGTCTCCACAGTGTACGAGGGCCGATGGAACCGAGGACGTACCCGACTGCCAGGCCGTACGGGATGCGAATTGCGGACACGATCGCGGATAAGGACAGCGGCAGCTCCGCAGTCTTGTGGCCCTCATAGAACCAAAGAAGGCACGCGACGCCAGCAACGCATGCTGTACCTGCCGCGATGCATGCTACGTGCAGCGCTCTGTCCTTGAAGAGCTCATAGCTCTGGTCTGTCGTGAGCCTTTTGTCCTTGAACGGCTTGAACAGCTTAGACTTTTGTTCTTGCGTGAGGATCTGCATGACTGGGTGTGCGAAAAGTGAGCTGTGGTGTGAGGAGGTGCCAAGGGTGGGATGGGGATAGCGTTCCCTGCTCATCGGGCGGCAACCTCGACTTCTTATAGACCGTCAGACGGGGACAGTCTCCCGTGCCACAGAAACGAGCCGTGGTGATTCTTGATCGCGCATCGCGCATCACGCATCCAGCTCGCCTTGCCTCCGTCGACGCGCCTGGCGTGAATATGGTTCATACTGCAGCTGCGCGAATGGAGGCTTCGAAGCCACCGTTGGGTATGGGAATGGAGTCGGAAGTGCCACGCTGAGCGGAAGCTTTCTTTCGATGCATGCCAGCTCGATGAGTGCCACGATTGGTGCAAGCCACCGGCTGTGGCCCGGAGATTCGCCCCTCTTGATTGCAGCAATTTGACCCGGACATGACACGGGACGGCGCAGGTCGTGCATGGAAGATCGACAATCTCTTTGCATGCGACAATCGTGGCACTTCCTTTTGATGAATGCGCGATACAAGCCACTTGCGCTATCTCCTCCATTGAGGGCCTAGATTCGTGGCTTTGAACTTACGGGACCGACTACGCGCTGATACAGTATCTGCTGTCGAAGCCCCGATGCGTGCGCCGCCTGGGGGTCTATGCGCTAGCATCGTGAATCTGCTGGCGTTGTGCTTGCCGGCACATGTGGTGCTGTCTCAAGAGGCCGCCGCCATCGGAAGCTTGATGCGCGATATCTGACTCACGCTTCACGAATGCACGCTGCTGATCTCTTTTGAGCTAGCTGCATCCACGTATTCCTTCGTGTTTCCATCCCGCTGCAATCCACGTCTGTCGTGCTTGTGCTGCTGAGCTCTGGTATAGCGCGCCAAAACGTCGAATTTGGACTCACGACTGACGAAGCGCTGCAGTCACGAGTCCAGACTCACGACTCTCTTCTAGAACTTGACGCACGAGCTTCCCGGCGGAACCGGTTCCGCGTTAGGATCTGCATGCATGCACGCATAGAGTGCGGGTGCGAGTGCTGCGAGTGCGAGTAGTCACGAGTAGTGCGGGTGCGAGTGCTGCGAGTGGGGTGCCTTGGTCGGACAATCACATGAGGATCGATTAGTGAACGTACTCAAGACTGATTCGACCAGTCGTGGGCATCTCTTTCGCGCCTGGACAGGGCATGCACTGACCTCAAGACTCCCGACTACATTCTTTTGCTCTACCCGCGCTTGGATCGCGAGTCTGAGAAAGCATTCGAAGCTTGACAACGAGCGCAAGGCTTCTTGAACGAGAGAGAGGCTTCACGGGCAATGACGATCAGAGTCATTGGTAGAGACGAGATTAGGAGGGTGCAAAGACCAGAAAGAAACCCGTCATGTTATTGACAGCATGAAACAGTCGAGTCTTGAGTACCCGCGGCGGCGACTCGCACTCACGTGACTTTACACTCAAGACTCGTTCCCGACGGTGATCCCCACGCAGTCACGGGTAGGATTTTGAGTCTGGATGAGTCTTGAGTTGAGTGGGATTTACGATTCTTGACTCTTGCGTGTGACTCGATCGATCGCCAGCACCATGCAACGATCGTGCGGGGTGAGTCGAGAGTCACGAGTCGAGCGCTTTTGAGCCACCTCCGCGTGGACACGGATCGCGTACGCGCGTGTGATGCGCGCGCGCGCACGCCCGCGGCGGGGCTCGCTCGATCTGCTGCTTAATTCATGATGCTGCAGCAAAGCTTAATTCGCGCCGCGCGCGGGCACGCGGGCCCCGCATGCAGCGAGCAGAGGTAGGCAGGCAGGCGTGCGCACGCTTTGGTATCGCATCGCATCGCATCTTGCCCCCCGCGCGCGCGGGCTTTCATCCAACCATCACCAGCGTACCGTACATCTGCAGTCACGAGTTCGTCAGTCGTCGGTCCGAGTACGCGGTCGCGGCATATCCACAAAGACTCACGACTCGCGACTCACGAAGCAGCTCTCGTCGAGTCGCAACTCGCGAGTGCTCTTTCGATCAGCATCCAGCATAGCCTAGCCTAGCCGCACCGCACCGCACCGCACCGCACCGCACCGCACCGCATGGTCTTCTCGCTCGCCCGCCCGCTCGCCCGCCACTGATGAAAGACTCGTGACTGCCCTTTAGAAGAGACGCACATCCTTCCTCGCTGCCACACCATGGATGCGCAAATCGCAATACCGGACCTCGACGATGACGACGTTCTCGGCTTTGCACAGTCTGCCCCTGCGCCTGCGCCGTCCTCCGCGGGCCGACCTAGGCCAGCACTAGCGCCTACATCTGCGCTGAGTTCGATTCAGATCCCAGACAGGCCGCCCGCAGGTGGCCCTTTCCGTGGCGCTGAGCTCACCTTTCATGGCCGCAGCGGTAGCGGGACGAGCAACGATAGCCTTGGAGCGGGACCTCCGTCAGCAGGCTCTGGCAGCGGTGCGGGAGCAACGGCGACGGGCGCGAGCGCGAGCGCGAGCGCGAGCACGAGCGGGTATCGATTTCCAGCTCCATCCGCTGCCGGCACCACCACCACAGCGTCCTCCTCCACCTTTTCCTTTCCCCGCAAAGGCAGCTTTGCCAGCTTAAAGGCTGCATTCAAGGGGCAAGCCTCATCCTCATCAGCAGCAGCAGCAGCAGCAGCGGCCACACCAGCAGTGCAGAGCTCCTCACGCCGACCTGCTCATCATGGCCGCAACGACAGTCAACTCTCCATCAACTCGAGGGCAGCCAGCAGTCATCACGGCGGACCAAGCATCGGTGCAGCCTTTAGCGGCTCATCCGTGGTGCCAGGCAATGCGCCCAGTCGAGGTCACGCCCCGCATGGCAGCATCTACAGCGAGCACTCGGCTGCAGCCAGCTCTTCTGGCGGATCCTCCGTCTTTCACAATGGTGCCAGCGGCGTGGCAGGTCACGGAGCCGGTGCTGGCCCATCGTCGTCGCACTTTACAAACATGCTTGGCGGCCCCAGCGCCGGCGACATGCCACCCCTGCCACCCTTTCCTGAAGAGTTTTCTGCGCAGATGCCCGCCTACTTTCCCGGCTCGATGCCAGGCGCTGCTGCTGCTGCTGCTCTCGACGCGGTGAGCTCCAGCGGGCGTCCCTCCATCGAGGCATCTTCTCAGAGACGACCATCGGTGCCCATGGTGCACCAATCTACGCACGCTTCGTCCCCCTCTGACCCGTTTGGCTCCCGATCGCTCTACCCGTCTGCTCCCGATGCCTTCGAATTCGACAGTCCCAACGAGCCACCTGCTGCGCCGGCCCTGCCACCCTCAACATCGAATGGCGCTGCGCTGCACGACGGCGCTGCTGCTGCTGCTGCTGCTGCGAACGGCTATGCGTCCACTCCGCGTGCACCCAAGCTAGGTTTGCGCAGGGGGCCTTCCTTTACCGCAAGCATGAGAGCAGTCAGTGGTGCGCAGGGACTGGGAACGTTGCCGCAGGGAATCGGCTCCAACGACCCCAAAACGCCTGCAGAGTATGCCTTGAACGTCCTGATGAGTCGGTGGGTGCAATTTGCAGGATCCAAAGTCGAGGCTTGCATGCATAGTGGGGTGAGTGATGGGGTGCGCAAATGGGGGAGCATGGCAAGAGATGTTGCATTCGCGCTCGCGCTCACGCTCACGCTCGCGCGCACGCGCACGCAGGACCGCGAGATCGATCTCAACGCAGAGTATGCCGAGGGTGCCGACGAAGTCTTTGACGCGCTGTTGAGCTCCATCGCCCACGTCGCTCGCAAGAGCACCAGCGCGGTCGTGCATTCTTTGAAAAGGTGGCGCGATCTGCAACTCGAAATTTCTGTGGATGCGGAAGCGGTACGGCAGAGTCTGGCTCATCTCGGGCATTCAGCCACTAGCATAGCAGCAGCCACGACTGGATTTGCAGGAGGTCAGCTCGGAGTCAAGGACGCTGCTGCGCTGCTGAGCCGCCGGAAAGCGCTAGCATCTGCCTATCTGCTTTGCCGAGCACTGGGCAAAGTCGCCGAGCAGTCTGGCATCGGAACGCTATCGGAAAGTGCCGCGCACGCCATCGAAGCGGACATCTTTGGCATCATGCTGGCATGCAGCCGGGAGCGCACAGCTAAATCGGACCTCCAGGCTGCTGCGTTTCAAAGCGCTGCCGCACTGTTGGGCCAGCTCTCGAGCAAGAGGTGAGCCATGCCTGCGCATGCACGAACTTCGCCCGACTCGCTTCGCTGACCTCGCTCTCGCCCAGATTCGTCGCCATTGGAGATCGCTTCGTTGCCCTCCTAGAGCAGTGCGCAAAGTCGCCATCGCGCGAATCCGATAGCATCGCATCGGTGGCCGTTCAAGGCGCCGCTTACCTCAAGATCACCGTGAGTCGCGCGCGCGCGCGCGCGCGCCCGCCTACACGCGCGTCTCGATGCTGACGTGCCGGCTCGCGCCAGGTATACCCCATGGAACTCTTCGAGGAGGGGGCCGACTTTGTCGAGACGTTGTCGCGCTACTTTGCCGCCAGCCATGGTCAAGTACTCAAGTCTACATACGCCTCTGCACTCACCCACATTCTGCTTCCAGTTGCCCAGCTGGCGTCAGCAGAGCTCAACCACCCTACCTGGCTTCGCGCTCTCGAAGCCGTCTCTCCACGCGCACTGGCAATGTGCGGCAAGCCGCGGTACTGGCAGGTAGCTTACCCTCTCTACGTCGCGTGCCTGTGCGCCTCACCAGAGGAGCGCCTGCTGCAAGCCGCATCTGGTGGCTGGAACTGGATCTCTTGCATCGAGGCAGGCATGGCAAAGCTAAAGGACCGCGGCACGCGCAACATCGTCCTCAATGCAGCCGTTCGTCTCCTTTGGGCGTACATCTTTAGGTGCCGCGAGAGCAGCAACACCACCACCAAGCGATTGGAGCACTTTTTCCGCCTCTGGTTCCCCACTCAACGTCCCGTAGTCTTGCCGTCCGATGCGAGCCTGATTCCACACATCGTCATGACCCACCTCGTTCTGTACCGGCACTTTGACTTTGGCCGCGATCTGGTCCTCGACTTTTTGCGAGCTTCGGCACTGAGTGGCAATACGCTCTCCCTGCAGCCCGAATTGCTGTGGAAGCAGCGCATGACGATTGCAGTGCGAGCAATCACGCTCACGCTCGACGCGTACGTGCAAGAAAAGTCGCCGCCGTTCCCTTCGCACCCAGACTTTGCGACCTTCGCTGGCCTGACGCTTGAACAGCGATCTGGTCTTGGAGACGAGCTTGCGCCAGATTTCAAATGGCCAAGACCCGAAATCGGCGAGGCGCAGAGCACCTTCAACGACCTCATCGGCAAGGTTGCGCTGATCTGCGATCATCAAGTCGGCTCCGCAAGCATTTTTGAGGATGGGCTCGCAATCGTCCGGAGCGGTGCGCCTCGACCTCAAATCGACGACGAACGTCTGGTGTGGCTGCTACACTCCACCCTGCGCACGACTGTGGCATTCCCGCGCGATCACGAACCGTATTGCGAGCTGCTACGTGCTTGCTTCGACTCTTGGCCACGCTGCCTCAGCGCCAGCATACCATTCGGTAGCGTGCTGTCCGCCCTCTTTAGGGGTTACTTTAGCGCCGATCCCCGCTTGTCTGCCTCTGCCGCAGAAAGTCTGCGTCGCATCGCGCAGCAGCGCAAAGGCGGAGCAGCGGCCATCGTCTCTGGGTTTATGCGCTACCTCTTCAAAATGGACGTCGCCTTTTGGGAGACGCACCCCCATCAAAGCTTGCTCTTGGCAAAGGTCGAGCATGCTGTGAAGCTCTGGACGGATTTCCTCAACACGTGGCTCAACGAGCTCCGCAAGAGCCAAGACAAGCACGGGATGGAACGTACAAGCGCTTGGGCCATCATCGACGAAGTGGAAGCGTACGGCTTCTTCTTGCTGTGTTCGGCATGGCGCGCGTTGCGCAGACACGCGATCAGCATTCTCCGCCTCGTCGCCGTTCTCGACGAGACGTTTCTGAACCCCGCTCGCCGCAAAGCTTTGGCTACTGCGAGGGCCATGGGAGAGGAAGAAGACGCTTCGCGCGTGATTCACCTCCTCGACAAGCCTTGCGCAGAGTACTGCAACGAGGAGGACGCGTCGCTGTCAGAATCGCAAGTGGCCAGAATCAAGAAATGGAGGCGCCCCAGCAGCGCCGAAGCTCTCAGCGAGCTGGCAGAGAGCGATGGCTCCATCGAGCATTCCCTCTGGCAGCACGTGCTTCCGCACTTTTTGAGAATGTGTCTTGAGCACTTTCCGACCACCGTCGCCGTCTTTCGTTCGTACGTCACGCGCCGCGTGCTCGCCATGGAATCGGCAGTGGCAAATGTAGCCGGAATGCACACCGCTGGAACGACGCGGACCGTGACTGGATCTGGTGCTGCGCTGCCTACCAGCGTTGCCGAGCAGCAACTGATGGCGGCGCATTGGAAATTGTACGTCTTGTGCTTGTGCACCACCACGACGTCTTCGGAACGCGAGCATGCCAGGCACGCAAGCGGCGGCGGCGGCGGCGGCGGCGGCGACGATGCCAACGAGCGGGGTATCGCGGCCAAGGACCTCTTTCACAAGCTTGTGCCCTTTCTCGGAACCGATCAAGCTCAATACAGAGACGCGGTGGTCAATGCGCTCGGCAACATCAACGGCAACCTATATCGTGCCCTTTTGGAGACGACGCAGACGGTCAGTGCGCAGCTCAACGACGACTTTCGCCAGCGGTCAGCTCCAAAGTCGGGTCATCGCAAGAGTCGACACTCGGAACGGTTGCGAACCGCCGTGGCTCACGTCATGCAGCTGACGTCGACGCACATGGGACAGCAGGATGCGGTGCGCGACGTTGCGATCGCGACGTTCATCCTGAATTGGATCAAGGACACCTTTGCTTTCCTTACCGATCGAGAAGTAAGACAAGACTGGGAATTTCACAGACTGCGCAGATATTTTTGCGGGGTAGTGGAAGAGTTCACAAATGCCCTCGCAAAGCTCCATCAGACCGAAAGTCACCTCAATTTTGACATGCGCTTGCGCATGTTTCGTCTGCTTCGCGAATATCACAGCTTTAGTCAAGCGGCAAAGGATGGCCCAGCAAAGCTGGCAAACCTGTTGGCGTCCGTTGGAGAGCAGTATCGCGACGACAAACACCGCGAGGGTGTTCTGACAGCGCTTCGAAACGAGACGCAACAGCTCTCCTATCACGCAGGCAGTGCGATGGCTAGCCTCTGCCAGGGTGCCATCTCTCTCGTAGGAAGCGCTGCACCCGCACCCATGGCCGGGTCTTCCCTCGATGCTGATTCCCTGCTCTCGTGGCTAGAGCACCTATTCAGCAGTCACCACGCGCAGTATCACGCCGTTGCTCGGTGAGTCGGTCGTACAAAAGACGGCTGTCAGACGCGACCATTGATCTTTTGCCCATCACCTCATAGTCGTGCTCTGCACGCCTTGCTGATCTACAATGCGACGCATCCTGAATTGGTGGGCAAGACGATCAACCTCTGTTTTGCGGAAGCAGAAGACGTTGCGGCGCCGCGGTCCTTTTTTGCCGTTCTGGGCAAGGTGTTGGTTGAGCACGACACGTTTGACGTGCCGATCCATCAAAGCCTGTGCCTTGGCCTCATCAAGCTTGGACATCCCGATCACGAGATACGGCGGAGAGCCTTTGTGCTCTTGGAGTCCCTCGGTCGAAAGTGTCAGAGCGATCTCGGCCTGCAAGATCTCGAGGCTGGAGTAGCAAGTCCGCTCCCAGCAACCTACCTGCGCGCACAGAGGGAGGTCTCTGCTCACCTCGCCTTCAGCCTGCCCCTGCTCAAGATTGCCATGCTGTCCGAGTACACTTTGCGTCTTCCGACCATCGACATTGGCAGGCGCGCGACCACCCTTGGCCTCATCCCAGAATGGCTGGACGGCCTCGTGCTTTCTGAATCGCTTCCATTCTCGGTCGCTGACCATTACAGAGCTGATGCGGAAGTGCCTGGAACCACATTTCTCATTCTCACCAACCTGACTTTCCTCACGATCAAGTACGGTGACGAGCACAACTTTGAGATACAAGACATGTGGACGAGCTTGGCCGAAGGCCCTGAACCTGGCATCAATGCCACTTTCATCGTTCGATTTCTCATCGAGCAGGCTCTTCACTTTCGAAGCTCGATATTCGTGGTGCAGGCCAAGCGAGCCATCTCTTGCCTCTCTCGAACCATCATTTCTCCGGTTCTCTTCGCGGAGCTGTGCGCACGAATCGAGCCCTCTTCGGCTATTCCAGTACCAAGAGACGGGGCATCGCCCCTGCTCGACGCGACGCACGCCCATCTCCACTGCGCGAATCTAGCGCCCCTGCTCCTGGACCCGTCTCGGCGCCAAACTTTTTCGCCAGGACAGCTGGCGTTGCTGTTGGTGGGAGAGCTCACGTACGAGCGCTCCGGGCACTTGGAGCAATGGCTGCCGCTCTTGCTGCATGCGATCTTCATGCAGATCGACAGCGTGTCGTCCTTTATGCAAGAACAGATGATGAGCATGCTCGAACAGGTCATGCGTACAGTAACCTCTGCGCCAACGTCCACCGGCTTCTCGGTCACCTCTCGGACGGCCAAGCAGCAAGTAGAATCGATGTTTGCCAAGGGCTCTCCCAGCCTCTTTTGGTCGCACGATGACTTGAACGTCGACCTCGATCAGACTCGCACGCCTCGAATGATGCGCGCGACCCTCAACGAATTGCTCGCAGCCTTGGACTCTCTGTATCCTGGGCTGCGTGCAGAGTGGGGCCGAGTCTCTCTGCAGTGGGCAACCTCTTCTCCAGTCCGTCACATGGCGTGTCGATCCTTTCAGACGTTTCGCATACTCTTGCCTACGACCACGCCGACCATGCTGGCCGACATGCTCAATCGACTTGGCAACACCATTTCTGATCCCAGCGTCGACATTCAGACATTCGCCTTGGAAGTGCTGTACACGCTTACCGCAGTCGTACGGTCTGCCCCCGTTGGAGAGACGGAGATTCTCATTCAGACTTTCTGGTGCTGTCTCGCGTGCCTTTCGACTGCCAACGAGCGAGAGTTTGCGGAAGCCTTGGCCTTGCTGGACGCGCTACTGGACAAGATCGACATTGGATCCCGCGAGACCATCGACCTGCTCCGCGCGAGGTGCCCCGAAGGCTGGGAAGGGGACGCCGGATCCATTCAGACTTTGGTCCTTCGAGGTCTGCGGTCGTCCGGCACCTCGACCGCAGCGTTCAACATCCTGGCACGCCTCGCAAAGGTCAAGAATGGCATGCTGGTAGACTCTACCAACGATCGCCTTGCCTTCACATTCGTCGCAGCGCTGCCATGGTTCTTGCAATCATCCGATGCCCCTCATACGCAGGACAGCAACGTCTTGCAGCTAGCAGACGACATTGCTATTCTGGCCGCCGCTGCGGGCAAGATGGATCTTCAACGCGTCGCCACTTCGATAGTGAAAGCACGGTTCCGCACAAAGGATGACCTCGTCCGCCAGGCGGTTGGCTGCATCAAGGATCATTATCTTCCCAATCTTGGGCCGGACCTCGTCGTGCTGCTCCTCGGCATTTCCTTGAATCAACACGAATGGCTGCGAAAGCAGACTCTGCAGGTCCTCAAAGTCTTTTTCCAAGTCATCGACACGCGCTCTGGCGCTTTTGCGAATCTGGGTTCCGAGCTGCTCATGCCGTTGCTACGGCTCTTGTCAACGCCTTTGTCGGCCGAAGCGCTCGATGTGCTCGACGAGCCCATCGTCATCAATGGTGGCCCTGCCGCCAACCAGATCCTGCGCATGAGCCTGCAATGGGGCAAACCCAGTCGACGTCGGGAGCAGTCGAGCGACGCCGCCATCTTTGGAGCGCCAGACGACAGCGGGTGGGCGGTTGCGCACCCTCAAGAAATGACTACCCGATCGCGAATCAATGTGCAAGCCGTCTTCAAGACATGCGAGCTGTCGCTTGAGACTGCGCCCGTTGGCGAGGTCATGTTTGTCGACGAAGGTCCTTCTGACGATCCGCAAATTGTCTACTTGGCCAGCACCAACGGCACCGACTCGACCGCGAACATGGACGATTTGGGCGGAGCTTTGAACCAATTGCACGACCTGTCCAATTTCTTCGTAGAGCCAGACGCACCGAATCCTAGCGAGACCTCGCATCATCTTGCGGCCCAATTGAACCATGCCGATGGCAACTTTGCAGGGCAAGACGACGACGATGACGACGACGAGCATATTGCCCGCATCATGGCCCGCTCTGCCTTTGCAAAGGCGGATCATGGGAATGGACCGAGCGCATACAGCGCAAGCGACAAGGCTGGCACCATGACGATCCGCGAAGCCCGCGCTGCGGGCATGCTACCAAGTCTGGATCCGCAGCGCAGCGGCTCATTGAGCGACAGCGATGCGAGCTCACCTGCTGATACGACGCCGACCGTAGGCGATGTCTCGGAAAGTCATGACCAGTCCCATTCCCATTCCCAGTCGCAGCCGCAGCCGCAGCAACGCGGATGGCGGCCGCTCTTCAGGAGCCGCAATGCTTTGCCAAGCGCTAACGCGCAGTCAACCTCCGCCCATAGCCATGAGCGGTCTCTACACCAGCAACGTGCCGAGCGCTAATGCGCGGCGCGCGAGAACAAGCAATTGGCTGGCGTTGCTTCGAACAGCAAATCATTTGTACATTACTCACTTGCACGTCATTGGCACTTTTAGTCACGCGAGGAAATGGTCGAAAGCATTACGAAACGTTGCATTTCACACCTTTTTGCGTCTTGGGCTCCTCCCTTCTGTCTGTGCGAGAGGAGAGGCTGCCTTGCGCTTTGTCTGCGGTGGTAGCTGATTGGTGGGGGCATCTCCATCGAGCCGGCTCAGCGTGTGGAACGCCCAAGCAGCTCGCTCCAGCTCGTCGAGGCTCTTCCATCTCGGTTCATCTTTATCCATCCTCTCTTGCATCTTGATTCGGAAATGCTTTGCGGCTTTCGCGGTGTATTCCGGCTTCATACCGCACGCGCGCTCCATGGCCGCATCGGACATGAATGCGTACTGGCCCAGGGTGAGTGCGCACAGGATGGCAGTCGCAGTTGCCGGACCCACGCCTTTGAGCTCAGAAAGCGCCTTGATGGCCTCATCGGGTGACGTTTGCACCTCTCGCCAAGCTCTCAATGTCGTCTCGCGCACGACGTCGGACGAATTGCTCTCGACCAGACTGAGCAACTTGGGCCGAAAGCTGCCTCTCTGACAAGGGCGATGGGTGACGCGATCGATCGATCAGCTCGAGCTGTATAGGCGCGGCGCCTTTGCTCGCGCTACTACTCACGGTCAGCTTCCATTTCATGACTTTGCACAACTCTTCGAGTTGCAGGTGGCGCTCAGATATGCTGCCCGACTCTTGGACTGCTTGGTCGCGTCGTCGAATGACTAGCCACAAGTCTTTGCGATACCATCCATCTAGCTCGACGAGTTCCGCGCATCGAGCGTAGCTCTTTGCGCGCGCTTCCAGGGCCTCATCGTACCGCGAGAGCGCCTTGCGCAAAGCTGCGGTGGATGCGATGAGCGAGGAGGAGGAGGAGGAGGAGCTTGCACTCTGGCTGGTTGCACGCTTGACCATCCTGCAACCAGGAATGTGCTTGGAACAGCACGGGCCTGCAGCGTACCGGGTTCTTGCGCGCTTGACGCTTCAGAGCGCGGCGCGGCTGTGTACATAGAGAGAGAGAGAGAGAGAGAGAGAGAGAGAGAGCTATATAGCCCTGCTTCAGGCAAGCGAGCGGCCCCTGTCTGATCCCTTCTGTAGAGCCGTGCTTGGGTGTTTGGACCTTTTAAGCTGCCTGTCTGCAAGTCGACTCCGTCTGTTCAAGCTTCTGTCCTGATCGTCCACAGCGCGTGGTCAGGTCCTCTCGTTCACGAATTGTGCCTCAATCTATTGAATTCGTTGCACCCAATTGAATGTGAGTAGCGAATAGCAGCTCGCCTCAGTCAACGACTTCCGATCGATGGATGCAGATAGATGATGTGAGGCTGAGATGCGTGCGTGAGACGCGTCTTTTGTCCTGCATGCGCGCGTCGCGCCCCACACATTCGTGATTCACTTCAAATCTGTTGGCGTTTTTTGTAATCCTAACCGCGTGCGACGCTCAAAGGGTTGTTAGGATCGTTTCACTGAGTACAAATGCGGTGGGAGATTCAAGATTGCGGGAAGATTGCGGTGCGGGTGGGACAAAGGCTCGCGGCTGAGCACTTTGAGTCACAGTGCATGAGGGGGCGAGGGAGTGAAGCGCCCTTGCCATAGCCTCAAGACTTGAATTTTAAAGACTGCCTTACCGCGAGATGGAGCCGGTCGCCTGCTGTATTTAGAAATGGAGGAATCTTGAATGGTTTCGTGATTGACCTCCTGCTGCGCACATTGTGATTACATGTTGCATGCACGCACGCGCACGACCGCGTCAAGCAAGCTAAAGCAACCGCGCGCGCGTTGCATTCGCGATTGCGGCGCATCGCGAGCTCATCGTCCATCATCACCGCGGCTGCATCGCTCAAGTTGGATGGATTATAACGCATCCATCGACGTTCATTCATGCTGAGCAGCAGCACTCACGACTCGTCACTCTCACTGGCGCATCTCGCACCCGCACAGCGCAGCATACACCCTCGGCTTCTGCTGTCGCGTCTAACCGAACATTCACCATCATCTTTTGCTCCCCTGCTCGCTTGCTTGCGCGCTCTTCTGGACGGCTGCGCACTCCACGCTCGCCAGCTCGCAACAAAGATCAACAACACACTCGACGGCGCGCGTGAGGTGCATTCAAGCAGACTGATTACAGAGGCAGCAGCGAGACCACCAAACATCGCAGCAGGCCCCTGTTCCGCTCCTGCTACCGGCGCCCGAGCGTGCATCGCACCGCATCGCACTCCTCTTTGTGCTCTCGACGCTATCAGCCACGCAGGTCATTCAAAGTTTCGCACGTCCGCATCCTCATCATCACGACCACTCCAATCATGTCTTCCCGAGCGCGTCAGAACACGCGAGAGTCTGTTAGCAACTCTGGTGCCAGCAGCTCCATGTCACCCTCTCGCACCTCACCTCGCAACAGAGCGGTGCCTGTCAACGAGCGCAGACCCAACCAGCTCAATGGCAGCTACGGCGCGCCTACAAGCACGACGCTGCCTGAGCGAAGCTTTCAAAGGAGACGGCAGAATGGCTTGCTCACTCACCAATCCAAACAGCCCACCATTCCCAGCTCTGTGGAGCCGGACAGCGACGACGAAGCCTGTGAGTGCAGCCGCCCGATCGCGTCGCTCGCAGCGCATACTCGCGACGCGTACTTCGTCGATGGATGCGCCTGTATGCTGATCTCTGCTCGTCCACAACCTCTCAGTCAACTCATCCAAGACTCCCGGTGATGCTTTGCCATCCCAAAACGCCGTAGGTGCGCGCGTATCAGGGGTGGATGCGTACAGGGGGAGTGCGAGCGGAAGCACCGCATCTGCTGCTACTCCAAAAAAGGCCGCCTACAAAGCTCCCAAGCTGCACTCTCACTTTTTGGAGCCGCCGGACGATGGCAGTCAAAGTCGCAGCCGCAGCCGCAGCACGCGAAGCGACAGTCTGGTCATCGATGCGGTCAATGGCTCGTGGAATGAGGAGCGAGAGATGCAGGATCAGAATCGAAGCATCAGCACTACTCTAGAGATCTCTGCAGAAGCCAAGCCTCGCACGCCTGGCTCCCCACCGCCCACTTCGAGCACGAGCAAGATGAACACGTATCTGCTCTTTGCCATCCTAGCCCTCTTGGCTGCCTACATCCTCACACCGGACTCCATGATGCGCCGGATCGTGCCGGGAAGCGCAAACTTACCCAAAATCATGCCAGACAATTTCGAAAAGCTCTTTTCAGACCTGCACGGCCAGGTTCAGAAGCACGACAAGCGTTTGGGCGTGGTGGAGAAGAGCACGCGACAGTACTCGAGCCAGCTGGAGTTGGTGGAGCGCAAGCTGGAAGCGGCGCATCAAGTGCGACAAAAGGAGAGCCAGGCGATCGGAGATTGGCGAGCGCAGTCGGACAAGCGCATGAATCGTTTGGAAGATGCAAACGACAGGTACAGCAAGCGCGCTCAGCAGGCCATCGGAGACCTCATCCAGCTGGCAGAAAAGCTGCCAGTGCAGATGCCTGTGCGCGTACAGGCAGACGGCGAGTACCGGATCGATCCATTGTTCTGGAAGACCTTGCAGGGTGCAGTGGATGCCTCCAGCAAATTGCAAGAACAGGAGGGAGCAGCATCTCCAGCCATCTCGTGGGACGACTTTTATCGCTCCAACGAGCAAGTCATCTCCAAGCAGCTGCGCAACATCGTCAGGCAGACCCACGACAGCAGGGAGGGTCGAGAGTCGTTGCGACTCGTCAGTCGCGAAGCGTTCACAGAGCTGGTGCATCAAGAGATCGAAAAGGCCAAGGCCGGACTGGAGAAGCAGTTCAACGACAACGCAGCAGGTTTGCAGACGGAGATCCTGGCCAAGGTGCGCAGCCAAGAAGAAATGTACGAGCGCAGCGGCTCGTGGAGCCCCTTTCGAAAGGGCCAAAAGTCGGATGTGGATGGCGACGAAAAGGTCTCTGCTTCCGCCGTCAGCTCCATGATCGACGCGGCGCTCGAGCGCTACGCTGCAGACCGAGTGGGAAGGACGGACTTTGCATTGCGCTGGACGGGTGGAAGAATCATCCCGCAGATCACGTCCGGTTCGATGCGACCACGAAGCACCCTGTCAAAGATGCTGCCGGGCTTTCTGGGAGGTCGTAGCAGCCAGCTCTTGCACTCTCCTGCCGTCGTCATTCATCATGACAACGCACCAGGTCAATGCTGGGCTTTTGCGGGCGACACTGCCCAGCTCGGCATCCGCCTAGCCAAGCCAGTCGTCGTCACGGACGTGTCCGTCGACCACTTGCCTCAGCCCGTCGCGCTACACATGAACGAAGCTCCAAAGGACATCGTTGTGTGGGGCCTAATTCGAGACAAGCACGATGTTCGACGATTGGAAGAGTATCGCAAGGAGCAAGCTTCGGATCCGGACAAGCTGAGCGATACGCCCAAGCCCACGCCACCTACTCCCAACCACATTCACTTGGCAAGCGTCACCTACGACGCTACGCCCGGTTCGAGATCGGTTCAGAACTTTGAAGCGTCGGAAGAACAAAAGGCGCTCAGACTCGCAATTGTCGATACGCAGTGGAACTTTCTTTCGAATTGGGGCGACAAGAGAAGGACGTGTGTGTATCGCGTCCGAGTTCACGGCGAGGTTGCCGTTTGAGAAAGGGAGGAATGGCCAGAGCTCGATACCCTGCTGCGCGTTGCGCGCATGTTGGCATGGCGATCTCGATCCCGTATGTACTGTAGTCGGTCGAAAAATGTCACTTTTGCTCAATGTCGATGTGAGATTGCACCAGCACCCGCATTCTTCGATCAGAGCTTGACGACGGTCATACAGATGAGCAACGAAGGGTGTCAAGCAAGAGAAGCAAGTGCCGCGTAGAGGAGACGGGGCACCGTTCGTTCATGTATTGGTCCAAAAAGGCAGCAAGACGTCAGACAGCGACACGACGCGAAGAGGTAGCGACACCGGATCACTTTGCCACGTTTTGGATCACGAGCGGAGGCGCTCGCATGGTGTCACGATCACCGTCGCCTTCTTGCGCGTCCATGTCAGACGAGTCCATCTCTGGCAAAATGACTTTCTCGGCCCAGACCTTGCCAACCCTGGTGCGTGCTTGAGGAGTCGTCCAACTGAACCCCTCAACCTCCTGCTCCTCGTGCGAAAAGAGGCGGCGACCCTGCCACCTGTTCGAGACAAAGAGCAGCTCCGAGTCGCTGGTCGATTGGGCACCATGTTCTGCAGGCCGACGCTCGCGAGACGTCGTGGTAGCATTCATGCGAGGGAAAAAGTCGTCATTGCTGCAAAAGTGCTTCGCAGCGGTTGCGGCTTGCTTCGGCTCGACAAACATGGGTGCGCGAGCTTCTGGAGAGAGGTAGCCGATGGGATTGGTCTTGCATCGCTGCTCGCGCACCATGTCACGTATCTTGCTGGTCTTGAAGTGCGCGCGCGAGCCGCGCGGAAGCACGGACACTCCTTCAAAGATGGCGGTAAGACGGTACTGCGAGCCGCGCAGAGTGCACATGGACTGCGGCATGCCTGCGAGGCATTCCTTGCTTTTGGGATATCCTCTGCTGTCCCACTCGTAATTTTTTTCGAGAATGCGATCAGATCGCGAAGACTCGCCACTGGCCGTGTCGTTGACGCCTTCCACCGAACTGTCCCGCAAGATGATCTCGACTACAACGTAAGCTTCAACATTTTCGAACGCAGCCGCCGTGCTGGTCGTGAGGGGCGCAGAGTCCGAGATGTTTGCCCACCCAGATAGTTGCGTCCGTCCATTCGCGTGGGACGTCAGTGTCATGGCAGTAGCAGGTTTGTTGAAGCTCCATTCCATCTGTGCACATTCGTTCCGCTGCTTTATCGCAGCTCTGAGGTGGTCCTCGACCGACAAAGGCACTGCGAGACGGCTCCGAGATGAGCCTTGCTTTTCAGGCCTGGTCTCATTGCCAGTGAAGATGAGATTGTCGGCCAAACCGACACGTCGCAGCAGCTCAATCTCAAGCGAGCGTGTGTTGTGCGTCTCTGCCAGCAGCTGCGATGATGCCCACACCGGGCGCACGTGCTGGACAATTTTGAAGTGTGCCGACTCGACGTGGTACCTGTCGCCTTGGAGTAACATCTCTCCTTGCACTTGACGCTTATCCCCTGTGACGTTAGGTGAGCGTCAGCTCGGGCGATGCCTGACGCGCAGCGCGAGCGACATACCTTGGACGAATGCTAAAGAACTTTCGAACGTCAAAGAAGCGTTCAAACCCTCCAGATTGACTACCCGGGGGGTAAATGAAGGACCGCGCAAATCCCGGGTGACTTCCACCCAGCTGCTCTCGTTGAACGAGTGGTGAAATCGACGAGATTTGGGCGCCGGGTCGGACGACCACATTGGCGGTGGTACAGACGTGGTCTGTCCGGCTGCAATCTTGATGATGTCTCCTCCAGCTAAGCGAGCCTGGGCAAAGTAGGCCATGTCGAGCTCACGTGCGTACTGCGAGCGTGGTGACTGCGGGGATGAGGGACGTTTCGGCAAGATCACTAGCACAGCGTGACTCACCGAGACGTTAGACGAGCCCCGACCTGTTGCATATCCGTGACCCTCAACGCGTGGTGGGAAGATCACAGGCGGTACTGCAATGAGAAAGGGCTCTAGCTCTACGACTTGCAAATCTATGTAGAGGGGCGAGAGAAAGATAAGCGGCGACCTTTCCATCGCAATCTCATTGTACTGGCGTTTCGTTGCGGTCTAAGAGGTAAGCCAACTCACTCTCTGAGGGTGTCTCGACCGCACCCATGTCGCGGACAGCCTCGAAATTAAGACGCTGCTTCTCTGCTACGATCCATTGCTCTCGATTGGCCATTGCGTCGGCGTACTCTTGCATCCGCTTCTCGTAAGCATTCCTTTCCGGAGATGAGGGAGAGAAGGGCATAAGGACGGATAGCTCGTCCTGCAAGCCCCACCTGTATGGACTCGACCAGGTGTAGTTCCATTGCGGCTCCTGAGGTGGCTGCACGTCGAGCACGGGATACTTTAGGGCCACGCGCTCGCGGTGTCGAAGGCCAAGAGTCCACGACACGATGCGACATTGCTCTGCCAGAACTGGATCGTGGGCCAAGTGAGTCAAATTATTTACCAATCGTGCTTCTCCTTCCACCAACGACGAGCTGGACATCGGCAACGAGACGCGTCAGTCTGCACGGCGAACAACGGGCGGCGCTCCAGATTTTTCCCCCATCCTCACTCACGGTCGAAGATCGTCCGCACGGACCCAAACATGCAAGCCTTTGGTGCAAGGTGATGCAGGCTTAAGTCCAAGTCCATTTTCTCCCCCTCGACTTGCAGGTTGGCGGGGAAGCGCAGCGACGCTCAGGATGCCGATAGCGAGGCAGAGAAGCCCACAAACACGCAAAGCAGTCATCTTGGTGTCGCGAGGCGCAGCTAGCAGATTCGGTAGGTAAGTCGCCGAATTTCTCTGCTCATCTCTCAAACGTCCTTTCTTATAAAGCATCGGAGTTTCGAAAGATGTGACTCCATACTCGTGACTGTCCGCAATGGCACATTGGTACGTGAGGCATTGCTGCGCTTCACTCGCTCAGCTCTTTGACCATGCGGTCGCCGTCGTGTCAAGACTGAGCTAGGGACTGCCAAGGCCAAGTCGCCGGCCGGCATGCTCACTGGGCAGAGGCAGCGACCGCGAGGTGCATTACAGCTGGTTTCGCGCTAAAGACGCGGACGCGACACCCCCCCGGCAGCGTGCCTGCAAAGGCGTGTGAGGTTGTGGAGCGGGGTGGATGCGCACAGGCGAACGATCACTCGTTTCGTGGATGAGAACCCATGCTCGCAAAGGAGGCATGTACAGCCATTACAATCGGGTCGATCGGGCCTTACCAGAAGCGCTGGAAACGATGTACACGCATGGTACAGGCTGCATTGCGCGGGAAGAGCTCGAAGCCGAGTCAGAGAGAGGGAAGGAGGGGAAGAGCCCACCCAGTCAGAGGGCAGGCTCTCGTGCCAACAGATCCAAGTCGGACCCATCTCAAAGGAAGCTCAGGTGGTTGCCAACCTCCGACAAAAGATGTCTCTGCTCTGCAGGATCTTGTCCCTCGCGTGACCCCAAATGTCGAACCCTTCAAACGCGCCAAAGGCTTTGTCGAATTGAACCTTTTCGAGCGGTCGGCAAACGCGCTGAATTTCTGTAGCGCTGAGCGGGATTTGGTTCGGATAGCTGTGGAGAGAGGGGGGCAAGGTCTTCGAGCCTTGAGTGCCAGCTCTGATTGACCGACGTACACAGTCCCATGAGGAGAGGCTCACCTCCACAAAAAGGTGACAGAGGCTACATTCGGCCTTTGTGGCTGGTCGCTCTTGTACAGGCCGCTGGGCACTACCTGTATGGTATCCGCGATGAACAGACAGTCCTTCCACAGCAGCACCAAGGAGCCGGGAAAGTGCCCGCCAAGCAGGAGGATCTTTGCGGATGATAAAGATGGGGCTACATACGTCTGCTCCTCATCCACCAATTCAACCCGAGGTTGTTTGCCTGCAGTCACCGACTTGATCGTGTCTTGCCGCTGGTACCACTCGCGGAAATCGACGCCTGCAAGCCAAAGCTTCATTTTGGGAAAAGCGGCAAGCCAAGTAGCCGTGGTGGAATAGTAGTGCGGATGACTGATGATCATGTGAGCTAGGCCTTTGCCCTGAGAGATCGCATCGATTTCTTTCAGGGTCGCATCGTCGATGTAGGCTACGCAATCCCACATGATCAGCCCCTCGCTCTTCTCATCCTTCATCAAAAATGCGCGCTGCCCTATACCGAAGCTCGGGCGCGTCTTGAACGTCCACAGCTGATCAGGCATGACCTGCTCGAAATCGTTTCGCAATTCGCCTCGTTCGATGAGCCTCTCCAAAGTCGTCCATTTTTGCCCCTTGATGCCAATGTACTGCCTCGGATCAAGGCAGATGGGACACTTGAAGGGCGCATCTTGCGAATCGAGATCGACCTTGTCCACCTGCGATGTCTGAGTGGAGCATGTGGCACACAGTGGTAACGTGACCTCGCTCGCTGCCTCGCCCAGACGAGCAATCAGCAACGCCGAAGAAGGCGCTGGACGGGACTGCTCGCTGCTGCCAGTCTTGCCAACATCCAGGTTGAAGTAGGTCATGATGTCCTGAAAGATTGGACCTTTTTCCAGTGGCCAAACTTGTTGAACAATTGCAAGAAGGTGGTCGAGAGTCGCAAATCATTTGACATTGTTTTCGCCAAGGTCTCCCAACGAGCCGATCGACCCGCGCGTCGTGTCGTGTGCCATATAGCGTTCCACCAAGAGGCATGCCGCGGGAGCCGAGCAACCCCGCATGTACCAGCCGAGTCGCAGGAAAGTCGGGCGTGTGGAGGCAGGCAGGCAGCAGGCCACCACACTCGTGACTCCGAACCACGCCAAATCGGTCGGCCGTCAGGTCGACCGACACACGCGACAATCGTGGTTGATCAGCTTCACATGCTCGTGGAAGCACCAGCATGGCGCACACGAAAGCCGTGCTGAGCTTGCGTTCCGGCTTCATGTAGAGCACGTGACCAACGCGTCGGTCACGCATATGTACCCTAGCAGACACCTAAACTGAGCTGAGCAATCCAAGACCATTACCACCACCACCTCGCGTGACTTACACTTCAGCTGTCATGCCCGCCGAGGAAGGTTCGCGAGAGCAGAGCGATAGCAGCCGCTGCCTGCTGACATTGACATTCGCAACCCAAACCGCTTCGTCGTCCGACTTGGCAGACAGCGCAGACTTGGATTCGGTGTGTGTGTAATGATCAACATCTGCGGGGGAAACGCAAATTCCGTGCGAACGAGTTCGTGCGTTATCGCGCCGCGTACTCGTAGAAACCCTTTCCACTCTTCTTGCCCATCCAGCCGGCATCCACCATGCGTCCGAGAAGCACAGCAGGTCTGTATTTGGAGTCCGCCGTCTCTCTGTACAGCGTCTCCATGATGCCCAAGCAGGTGTCCAGTCCGATAAAGTCCGCCAATGTCAAGGGACCCATGGGATGGTTCATGCCCAACTTCAGCGTGGTGTCAATGTCCTCCTTTGATGCTACGCCCGACTCCAAAGCGATGATGGCTTCGTTGATGAATGGCATGAGCAGCCTGTTGGATACGAAGCCGGGCACATCCGCGCTCGTCGTCACCACTTTGCCGCACGCTTCGGCAAAAGATCGTGCGCGGGCCGTCACGTCCGGATCGGTCTGCAAGGCTGGGATCAGCTCGACGAGGGACATGACTGGGACAGGATTGAAAAAGTGCAGCCCAAGAGCCTGCAGGGGTCGCAACAATGAGGAATCGAGTGACGAAGGGACGCTTCCGAGGTGCTGTGCTGCATCCACTCACCCTGGATGGACCCTTCCAAGCTTCTGTGCTACCCTTTTCCGCACCTTGGGGCACAGCAGCCGCAGCGATCTTGGATACGCTGATGCTGCTCGTGTTGGTAGCCAATACAGTATCGAGCGGAAGGTGCGTGGCAAGCGAATTGAATATCTTGAGCTTGATTGGAAGAGACTCTGTGGCTGCCTGTAAAGGTAATGATGGGCGCGCAGTCAGTCAGCACACGAGCACAGCGGCTGGAAAAGCGGAGAAAGCTGTACACCAAGCCGCACGCACGCACGCACGCACGCACGCACGCACGCACCTCGACGATCAGACCGGGTCTTTTAGCATCGTCCAACTTTCCCAGCTCTTCGATGCTCTGAACCACTGTCAATCTCGATCTGGCCAGATCAGCAGCATTCTGCTCCAACTTGCCTTTGCCCACATCCTTTTTCAGCAGACTCTCAAAGAAGGCCACTCCTTTTTGAGCTTGCGAGGCCGAAGCATCCACCATGACCACGTGAGGGATCTTGGCCTTGATGGCCGCTACGTAGGATATGCCCATGCCCATCTGTCCCATCCCCACAACGCCTACGGATTTGAAGCCGTGCGAGACCGACATGCTGACTTGACTGTGCGGTATGGGATGCGTTTCGAGATTTCGAGTCACAGTATGGATAGGCGTGCAGAGCGGACTTGCTGAATGAATGTGGAGCGAGACTCGTGATTGTTGATATGTATGGCGATGCGCCCTTGTAGCCATGGGCTGAAACAGTCGTGAGTGCGAGTGTCGGTATATATACGCGCGCAGACGGGTGGCTGCATTGCCACATGTCATATACACGCGCGTATAGCGTGTGTCGGGATAGAGAAAGGCATGTCTCGCGAGGATCAGGTTCACCTTCTTCTTTACTGTCGGTTAGCCGCGTTGCCGACACACCGGCCCACTTGACTCAATCAAGCACGCACGCACGCACGCACGCACGGACCTTTGCCCGGTTTATCCGCGGCGCCTTGCCCCGCATCACGTGCAAGGGTTAGGGTTGCTGCCGCTTAATTGTTGCGATAGAGCGATGTGGCGGCGTACGTTGGGAGGTGTCGCAGTAGCTGCTGCCCCATCTGCTGCCAATCTTTCCCCCGCATTCCTTGACTCTTTACAACATTCCTCCAAGAACGGGGAGTCATCGGGTCCACCTGCTTCGCCCACGCGATCGGCCAGCATGTCTGCAACAGCCAGCACGGATCAGAGCCTCGGTGCAGGTTGCCTCTCGCCCGAACAGCTGCTGCAATATCAACGCGATGGCTACCTTCGCATTCCCTCCTTTTTCGCTTCCCAAGCTCCCGACATTCTCCTTCGCGCAAAGCACATCATCAACGCTTTCGATCCCGCTGGACATCCCATGACCAAATTCTCCACTGGCGGCGGCGGCGGCGGCGTCGGCGGCGATGGATCGTCTGCTGCTGCTGCTGCGGAGGAGGAGGAAGCGAAACACACGGGGGATGATTACTTTTTGAACAGCAACGATAAGGTCAGATGGTTTTTGGAAGAGGACGCGGTGGGAGAGGATGGCAAGCTGAACAGGCCACCTGAGCGGAGCGTCAACAAGGCTGGTCATGGTGAGTAGTCGTGAGTCTCGAAACATGCCATGCCACGTGCGATCGGTCCCCCCCACGGCGAAGCACATGCGCTGGCCGTCTCGCCAATCGCGATCGAGGCGTTAATTGAGCTCAAACAATGCGCTCATGCGCGATTCGAATTTCCACTTTGTATCATCCTGTCTCACCCTCACCCTGCCCTCTGCTGCATGTGCCCACGCCCACGCCCACGCCCACAGCTCTCCACACGCTAGACCCCACCTTTCATGCTTTTTCATTCTCTGAGCGCGTGCAGAATTTGGTCAGGAGCGTGGGGGCACACATCGATCCGCGCGTCTTGCAATCCATGATTGTGAGTAGTGGTGGTGGTGGTGGTGGTGGTGATGATGGTGGTGGTGGTGGTGGTGGTGGTGGTGGTGGTGATGATGATGATGGGAACAGCAGTTGGCGATTGGGCGGGGCAGCACAAAGCATCTCTGTGCTCGTCGGGCAGGAGAATTTCGCGCTGCGCTGCGCTCTACCCACATCTCATCTCTTTCAAGCACACGAGCACACGAGCATACGAGCACACGAGCACACGAGCACGGCAGCAAAGCTCCAGCTCACAGCTCACAGCTGACAATGTTGCAAGCCTACGGTTTGATTTCGCACGCTCTGAACATGCAACAGATTTGCAAGCAGCCTTCCATTGGCGGGGCAGTGCCGCCGCACAACGATAGCACCTTCCTCTACACCTCTCCTCCCACTGCCATGGGTCTGTGGTTCGCTCTGGAACCTTGCAAAGCGTCCAACGGTGCGCTCAGCTTCCTACCCGGCTCTCATCGTTGGCCCGTCGATCAAGAAGCGGCAGCGGCAGCGGCAGCGGGCGCGCGGGCGGTGGGCAAGGATCGAAGACCGCCTTTGGATGGTCAGGAGGCGCGATTCGGAGTGCAGAGAGGTGTGAACAGACGATTCGTTCGCAGAGATGCAGCAGCAGCAGCAGCAGCATTGGATGGGTCAGCATCGGCATCGGCATCGGGCACGGAATTTCTAGCCTTCAAAGACGACGACGACGACGACGACGACGACGACGACGACGAAAAGGCGGCGGCAGTGGCGGCAGTGGCGGAAGAGGCGATGTGGTCGGATGATGAAGCGAAGCTGGTAGAGTGCGAACCGGGAGATGTGGTGCTGATCCACGGCAGCGTCCTTCACAAATCCACGCGCAACACGAGCGAAAAGAGCAGATTCATCTACACGTTTCACATCATCGAAGGAGATCAGAGCAGAGCAATCTACGATCGCAAAAATTGGCTCTGGCCTCCTTCTGCTGCTGCTGATGATGATGATGCTGCCGATGCTGCTGCTGCTGATTCCCAAAAAGGTTTTGCCAAACTCTTTCAACCTCCCCCCGCACCGCGCGAAGCTGACTTGTTCTTGAGCAAGTAAGCCGGTCGCTCTCTCATCGCGGGAACCAGCCCGCGCCCTTTGCCCTGCGCCCATCTTCCCATGCTCTAAACATGTACAACACAGCAAAAGCGAACCAATTCATGCAGCGTGAACTCATTCACTGCGTGATCGCAAATGACTATTCACAAGGGTCCGTCGTGTCGATGCGAATTGAGCGGTACGTGGAAAAGTGCACAAGATCCATGTCAAGAGCGGGGGGGGATCCGAACGATCAACGAATCTCCCCCCTCCCATCCTTAGAGATCGCCGCGCGTGCAATTGCCCCAGCCAGCGCGCACATTGCGGTCCCTCTGGCTGCTGAGAAACGCATCAAAGGAGCAAAGTCCATCCTCTCTCTTCTCGCACTCCTGCAGTTGTCCAAGCGGCACGACGGCGTCATTGAGCAGCATCCTGATCCATCTGCTGCTGCCGCCTCCGTTGCCAGTCGTCTTGATCCCTTTGCAAGAGACATCCTCAAAGACGAGCCTAGCCGCGAAAGGTACGAGCGTCGAAGACTTGTACTTTCGACCCGGCTCCCTCTTGTCCTTTGGCAAGTCCTGCGCAAAGTCTGGCAGCTCTAGCGCAGCGAGCACATTGGCGATGACGGAATCGTGGGTGAAATCGACGTAAAACTTCTTGTCGAGCGGAAAGAGCGTAGGGTCGGTGTTGAGCGTGCTATTCTCGCTCGTTTGCGTAGAGGCATCCCAAGGCCTGCCTTCTAGTCGAGACACGAACTCGTTCACCCAACCCACACCTTGCGCTCTACCGACTGGCGAACCAGGTCCGTAAGACCCGTAAAAGACCAGATCCCAGGCATACTCGTAGTCTAGCCACTCTTGCGTGGTAAAGAGCGCGCAGAAACGCGAGTAACCAAAAGCGACAGTGTCGTACGAACAGGCTTGCTGAAATGCGAAGAGCAGGCGCGTCGTCTGGCAAGAGCGTGGCGCAAAAAAAAAAAGGTAAAGATGCAAGAGAGCTGATGAGAAGGCGCTGAATGGACAGCGTAATAGGACGCGACCATACTCACCAGAGCACCCCCTTTGACGTATGAGGAGAGCCTGCGAAGAGCATCTCCCAAATACTCGTCCTCCCACGCTACGGCGGCCGCAGCGCCAGGTTCCGCGACAGCAGGCTGGTCGCAAGCAGATCTTCAGCTTGGGAACTCGCACAAGAAGCCAGAGCCCCTCGCTCACCTTTCTGCTGGCATTGTCGCAAGCAAAATTTGGAGCGAGCGTCGTATTGAATCGAGGCGCTTCGATTTGGATCTCCAAATTTGCCTTGTCCCTCCAACGAGCACCCCAAGCCCCAGCTAACCAGTTGACGCCGCTTTCTACGATCCGATGTTGACTGCCAGCGCGAGCCAACTGCTTGCCGGAGCTGGCGTCAGATGAGAGCAACGAGCCGTACTCTATGGCTGCCTTGACGCCCGACTCGTAGAGCTGCGCTCGTCCAAGCGGAACCAGCAGCTCGGCGCCCAACTTGTATTTGTACGTGTTGAGGAAGGAAAGAGGCCCGCTGAATGAGATGCCCGAGGTCGCGAGCAAGCGAGGAATGAGCTCGGTAGGGGAGCCGGACGTGGGGTAGCGAGAGCCATGCTGAAGGTGGCGGGTGCAATTGCGCGGACGAGTCAGTCCAAGTGTGAGAGTGTCGACGGACGAGTGCGCAGCAGCGACTCACTCGATGCAGCATGTGCACAGCTTCGACCTTGCAGCCATCGGACAGCGTTCTGTGCTTGATGTTGTCCACACCAAACCCTGGACTGGCAAAGTAGGGTGAGAGAGGACCCATGTGCTCGCTGCGCAAAAGAGCAAGGATGCCAGGTGTCGCACCACGTTAGCCGGGCGCCAGAGCGTTGCGGAGATGGTCTTTTGGCGTGCACCAAGCGCATACAAGCCCACTCACAAAGCTTGAAAAGACTTGTCGCTGCCTGGGATGGAAGTCTGGATAGGCAGCGCACCTCTTGTCGGTGTTCCGTCAGGGTGATCATCGGCCAGATTGGCAGGAAGGCCAGGCTTGGTGACGCCTGGAAAATCGTTGTGATCAGGATTCCAATCCCAGGGTCTGTGCTTGCCCCTCCACATATCCGCACCCCAACCGTACACTTTGCCAGCAGCATCGCCGACGGGTGAAAAGGCGAAGCTAAAGGTGAAGACGAGCAAGCCTCCAACGACGAGGGCCATGGCTAATCGGAAGCGGGAGTTGTGACGTGCTGCGGAGAGCGTGTCGATGAGCCAAGCTGGTCGACCAGTCTTGTCCAGCTCGGGCGCATCCCTCCTTGGCAAGGCGATACTCTCTTCCTCTGCATTCAACTCGTCCAGCAGAGCATCCGTCGCTCGACCTCCATGTGGTCGCGCGAAGCGTGTAGGCGTATCAGCGTACGGCTCTGCGCCTTGCTCTCCGGATGGGATGGTGTGCACCACTGAACGTCCTTGTGGATCCGTCCCCATGCGATGCAGCCTGGCGCGAGAGCAGGAGAGGAGGCGGGCGGGCGGGACAAGGCGATATGAGCGCAAGCGCCAGCGCAACAAACTTCGATGGCCGTCATGATCCCGTCGCCGTCTTCTCTTGCCGCTGACCCGACCCTCTGCCCGTTGCACATTCACAAAGCGTACGCCATACACTCACACCAGTCCCTCATCCTCGCCCGCCTCGTCATCGACATGATCGGTGTAATGTCTGGGCATTGCAACTTTGGAAAGCCTGTCTCACAACTGGCCAGACCAGCTATTCGCGGTACGCCGGAACCCTTGATCGACCCGCCGCGATTCGGTGTTGCCAGTCTCGGAGTCTGAGTCAACAGTTGGCGCTGCACGCTACAAAATGGAGGCGCGTGTTGTGATGGAAAGGGGAAGTGTGACTTGCGGGAATGCAGCTGCGAAGGTGTCGACGCGCGTCACAAGTGTGAGTGTGGATTGTGATCGTTGCTTGTCAGAAACGCAATTGGGCGAGACGCTCAGCTGTGCGAGAGGTACGGGTGGGCAAGTCAAAGTGTAAGCCGTGGTGACTTCAGACGGCGCGTCTACGGGAAGGGAGGAGGAGGAATCACGTGAATGGTGGAGCCAGCGGGGCGCCACCTCGAGATTCACGACGGATGATGAGATTCACATTCCGGATTGTTCGAGATGGCGGATGGCGTGCAAGGGATGCGCGCCCTCGCCCCTCCACCCCACGCGCCCACGCGCCCACGCGCCCACGCACGTCGGCCAGTCAGGCACACACGCAATCAACAAAGCAGGCGCTCAAGTTCAAGTTCAGCCTCAGGCTCACGATCACGCTCAGGCTCAGGCTCAGGCTCAGGCTCAGGCTCAGGCTCCAGCTCCCTGCATTGGTGATTCACGACTTGCAAATCGCCGAGAGGTGCTGCTATGCTATGCTAACGCACGACCACCCAGCACAGCACAGCACAGCACATCGCATACACCATGTCACCTCCCTTTTCCTCTACGCGCACAAAAGTGCAGCTGAAATTGGTGGTGCAGAGGCTGAAGATGCTTCAAGAGAAGAAGACGTCGATGAGCAAAAAGGATAGGAGGGACGTGGCCAGTTTGGTTGAAAGGGGGAAAGTGGAGACGGCGAGGATCAAGACGGAAGGTGTGATCGCAGAGGATGTGAGTGGTGGTGGTGGGGGGTGCGTTGGTGGTGGTGGGAGCTGATGGAGGGGGGGGCAGGCAGGCAGGCAGGCAGGCAGGCAGGCATTCATTCATTCATTCATTCATTCATCGCTTCCTGGACTGACGCTGAAGCGCTGCGCAACCAACGCACGCCCATTCAGATTCATGTGGAATTGCTGGAAGTGCTGGAACTGTACTGCGAGATGCTCATCGCTCGTCTGGCCCTCTTGGACTTGCCCGGGTAAGCTAAGCTAAGCTAAGCTAAGCGCTCGCTGCGCTGCGCTGCGCTCGCTTTTCCCAAGCCAAGCCCTCCAGCTTCACGTCACCCGCCTGCTCACCATTCACCTTGACCCGCCCCTCTCACGCACCAGTCGAGAGCCGGATGCGGGACTGTTAGAGCCTCTTTGTGCGCTCATACACGCCGCACCGCGCACCGAGCTCAAAGAGCTGCACGTGCTAAGGGAGATGCTCATGGCTCGCTACACTCGAGAATTCGCCATTCGAGCAACGGAAGATCAGGAAGAGTGCGTGCCTAGGCGCATCACCGATAGGTTGAGGGTTCAGACGCCCGATGAGGCGTATGTCGATGCGTGAGTCGGCCGAAGGGGGGGGGCTAGGCAAAAGCTCGTGGGACCTGGGCCACTCGTACGTGTATGTATGCTCATCATCGCCTCGCATCGCGCTCGCGCGCACACACACACACAACGCTCACAGCTACATCGCAGAAGGTGAGTTCTGCACTTTATCGCTCCACGTACTCGATCGCGACATCAGCTCAAGCAGAATCGACGGGGATTTCCCCCCCCCCCCCCCCCCCCCCCCCCCCCCAAACAAACAATAAATTTCCTTCTCCCCCCCTCCCTCCCTCTCTCTCGTAATCAAGTCTGCAAAGCCTACTCCATCCCCTTCACCTCCGCCCATGCGCAAGTCCAACCATCCATCGACGTTCCCTCTCCCCCACCTCCCCTCGAAGCGCAGCTCTCCACAACCAGATCCGGCAGCAACACCAAATCCGATGCGGCTGTGGCCACGTCGCTGGGTACGAGCGGCGCGATGACGAGCGGTGCGCAGCCTCCTGGAGGCTTGGTGGACAAGCCTGATCTGCACGGTACGACGACCACGACGTCTCGACAAGAGCAACAAGGCAATGGCAATGCTGCTGCTCCTGCTGCTCCTGGTGCCGTGTCGGGAATCGCCGCTCAGGAGAGCAAAGGCAAAGCTGTGGACCCCGTCGACGAGCTGGAAAAGAGGTTTGCGGCTCTAAAGAGGCGAACGTAAAACAGGGGGGCCCCCACTGGTCCTCAAAAGATGCGGGCGCGCGCGGTGGGGGAAGAGAGAGAGAGAGAGAGAGAGAGAGAGAGAGAGA